GGGGGGGGGGGGGGGGGGGGTCCTTCCTCGTTCGGCTCATTCCTCCGACGTCTTCCGCTCGATTGGGTGGCAACTTTATCGCCGGGATCGGGGATTCGCGGAGGTTGTCGAGGCGGATGGATTCTCGGTCTCCGGATCCTGAACATTTTTCTGGGTCGGTCGGGGAAAAGGAATCCCCGGTATGTCCCCGGTGTGGCCCCCCGATTCTCATTTTCCGCACGTCCGTTTCTTATTAACCACGACGCTTCAGAGTTAACGAAATCCGATTAGGCTCTTCCGAACTCGAGGGGGGGGGAGGGAAATAAAAAAAATAGCAGCGGACTCGTCGTCCGTTCGACAGGAACGATTCGCCGTTTCCTGTGTGGAAACAGACGCATGATGAAGCGATCGGCTCATTAATGGGAAACTCATTAATCTTCATCCCCTTTCTGCAACCCTTCCAGTTTGTTTTCCAGCCGAGAGAGAGAGAGAATCCAAACATGTCAGTGGCGGGAACCGCATTCATCATGTTTTTACCGACGCACTTTTACTCTCCTCGGATCGCGAAACGGCGGCTCCGTCTCTAATTGGCTTGTCTGTCCATTGGCTTGTCTGAGAGGCCCCTCGGTTATTTTTGCACAGGTCCTGCTTCGTAATTACAGGGTGTCTGATGCCTTGGCCCCTCCCACCCTCTTTTTTTCAGGTGGTCTATCCCCCTTCGAGCAGGTGAGGACCCTGTAATTAACAATTAGTGAAAAATATGGAAGGTCGTCGGAATGCGGCTTCGATTGTATGCTGTCTGCTGGGACCGATCCCTCCCCCCCTTTCTGGCCGAGGGAAAGAAAAATCGCTCAAAATGGAAATGATGAGGGGGGAGAAATGCAAAGCCGGACCCTCTCCATCTGGTCGTTACCGAAGATTCGGATGAACCGGGGGCTTATGCATGCAAATAGGCGGAAGTGAAATAATTACACCGGGCATAATCACACGGCGAGAATCCGCCTTTCGACGGGCGGGGGAAAAAAAGCAAGGAATGGTGCCAGACAAATGACCCGCATTGTTTTCGTCGGATACGCAATCCCGCGAACAATACGCTAATGACTTCATCGCGGACGAAAAGGTCATCGGATTACTCGTCGGCCCCGATCTGGAAGCGGACTCCCCTCCGGTGCAAGGTTCAGGTGTGGTACGAAAAGAAAATACAAAAAAAAAAATCGTAATTGGCATGAACTCACGAAACGGCCACTGCAGATATCCCGAGGTCATGGGGCGTGGCCATCCTCAACAGCAGACCGCATCGAGACTGCACAGAAGCCACTCCCGGGGGAGGCGGCGAGCCAACAACTCTTTCATGCAAACGAAGAAGTCGTTAAAAAGAATCCCGGAGCACCGAAGCGATTAGTATGTAAGACCAGGAGCTTGCAGCCCGGCGAAGAAGCGAGGGGGGGAGAGGGGAGGGGGGGCGAGGGAAATGCACGGCCAGGGGCTCTGTGGCTACGCTGGACTCCACCTAAGGAAGTCGTGGGAAGAGGAGGTAAACCACTTGTTTGTTGTGGGCAGATATCCCCTCTAATTAATACAATTAGTGTAATGTAGCTTCCGCCTCCACTCGGTGTCCTGGTTACCTCCGGATCACTCCACGCCCAAGAGATAAGGCCTCTAAGGACCTGGCCACTCTCGTTTCTTCACGTGGGCTCTTCCAGCCCTCGTTTCTTGCCCCCCTTCCCCCCCTTCCCCTCCCCCGTCTCGATTCCTTGTTTTACATTTTTTTTTCCGTTTTTGAGTTTCTCGGACTTCGTGGCGACCGTTTCGCGACCAGGTGGCGCGGGTCGCTTTCCCCGAAGGGAATTTTTTTCTTCACCGCGGTGGAACTGCGTTGCGCAAACAGATTTCCTCCGAGGGCTGCGTCCTTTTCAAGCTCGATAATATATCGGCGCGATATGAATGAGATGAGCCCAATAATTTACGAGGAGAGCCACGCCTGACCCCATCCGCGTCTCATTCCCACGATCGTTCGAGTCGTCTGCGCCTCGAATTCGTCCTTGTCATGAGCGGAGAATTCCCCCTGGAAATTCCCCCTGAAAATTCCCCCTCCCCTCACGGAAGATTCCGTTCGTTTTTGCGTCGGCTTCCGACAGCTGAAAACGAGCAACGCCGGCAGAGGCTCGTAAAACGCAAACGGGGACAGGTGAGGTAAACGATCGACGTAATTACACGGTTTCACCCGTTTAATTGCGCCAATTTCACGGGACTTAATGCCGAACCCCCGCTCGTCACACGGAATTCTCGTTTCGGGGGTGTATGCAGGGGGAATTAATTGTGATGGCCATTTTAACCGTCTTCCCCCCCTTTCCCTGATGGATGGAGGGGGGGGGGGGGTGTAAGAGGGCGAGAGAGACAAGCACCTGTCCGTCTCAACATTAAACTAAACCCCGAATTTCTTTTTCGCTTTCGAGTCGTCACGTGGTTCCACGGACGATTCACCCTTTTTTCTTTTTTTTTATTATCGGACTCGGAAGAAGCAATCGTCGAAGGAACGTTCCCGCGCTTTTGGGCCGTCATTCCATGATTTGACAACATCGGCTGCAATGAGAAACAAGATCGATCCGGTGATCAGTTCTCCCCCCCATTAAAAATTTGTTTATTCATGAAGCAGTAGAACAAGAACCACGGAATGGAATTTTTACTACGCAGAACTGCAGGACGACCATCCCCCCCCCCCCGAGAGGCTCCGNGGAGGAAAGCAGTGGTAAAGAAGGGAAATCATTGCATCTACATTTACATCATTCTTTAGCAAAGAATGTGTCACTAAATGCCCTCAACTGCAGCAATGGGTGGCAATTTAATCACGGGCAGAAGCATTGAGAGATAGACAGGCTGGACAGGACAAAAAGTGATTACCGTTTCAAGCAGGTCTACCGATAAGTATCACATGGCTTTCAACTAGGCCTATTCGAAATTATAGGCGATTTCTTCTACGGGCCATTAATTGGCACCGGTACCGGCCGATGGTTATGAGGAAAATCGGCCATCGGCCCACCGGCCAAATGTTGCCACCGGTACAGCCCTAGTTTCAAGTTCTGAGAACTTTCGCTGCGACGCGTTCACGCGCTTCAAACTCGGCATCGCGGCGGCTGTCTGTCACACGGAACTGGACACCGTGCCTGGCGGTGACCGCGAGTCCACTGTCTTCCGGCGGTCCAGCTACTTCAGAGAAGCAGCCGAGAAGGAGGAGGAGCCTTCCTCATCCGACCAGCTCCACGGTGGCCGTCCAAGGTTCTCCCGGACGCCAGAGCTCGTCGAGACGGGGCGAGAGCCGGTGGATGAGCCGAGTGACCGAAGCGGGTCGCATCGACGGCACTAAGGGCATCCGAGGCTTTTTTTTCTTTCCGCGAAGGCATGGATGCTTTCTGCAACAAGCTCAACAAAGGCCTTTTGCAACGAGCTCGTTCCGTGCGACAGGCAGCGGCCGCAATGTCGAGTTTGAACCGCGTGAACGCGTGGAGGCGAAAGTTCTCAGAACTTGTGGCCAAATCCAAATCGTTGGAAACAGCCCGCGTTGCACTGAGCTCGTAGAACTTGAGGTCTGCTCTGTGAGCACTTCTCGACGGATCGACTTGAAAATCGGCAATCAGAGAGATTACATATTGGTCTATTTGCCTGAGAAGTGAGGAGGGAACTGCTGGAAAATTTGCAAATTTACAAACGATTCTCATTACTTTCCGGACACCCGAAATAATGGATGGCCCATCGCCAAAAGACACTTCCAAATTGATGCAAACTAATGCACCGGGTTCCACCGCAGTTAACAGCCATCTTAGACTTGCATGCGAAACTGCGCAAATCGATCTGAAAGGCATGCTTGCGCTTCACGCCATAACTAAGAACGTTTTTGCCCTCGGCGCATCGTGACTCGGAACGGCCATCATGCCGGTAAACCCTGGCCATTATGCCCTGGCAAACCCTGGCCATCGTGCCCTGGCAAGCCCTGGGCATAACGGCTCTAAAAAATTTTATGGTCGGGGCATGAACTTTTAGACGGTCGTACTCGTGCACCCATTGAAAATATATTTAAGCTCGACTCCGAAACCATATGATATTACGACCCGTAAGAACCACCCTTAAACTATTAAGGAAGGGGTCGATGCGAGCCTTTCGCCAACGAGAATCGTGTTCCACCACCTTTGCCTATTTGTCTGTCTTGTCGGAGCCCCGAGATCCTGGTAGTTCCAGGAAGCAAAAAGTTTCAGCTCGGGTTTACTCGGTTCCGCGGAAATGATTCAAGGAAAGTTTCGCTGCTGAACGAAAAACTGTTCCAATCCGAACTTTCATTTCCTTTTTGAGTCAGGTCGCTGGAAATGCTTATTTCCGCCACAAAATGCAATCCCATGGAAATCCAAGACTAAGACTAACGACGGTAAGAACTAACGAAAGCGACAGCGTCACACCCTCGTAACGGCAAGTCGCAAAAAGTCGAATTCGATATTCCGACTTTGGGCTTTTCCCTCAAAAGCCTCGCGATTGACGAGGAAACTTCCGTTCCTTTCCGTTCCTTTCGAATCGACTCTTTTGACGAGCGAGGAACGACACGAAATCTGTATCCCTCATTAAACATAGGCTTTGTCTGCTTCAGTGGACTAAATTATGATGTTCAAGACAGACCTACCGTGGGAAACGCGCCGGAGTCGTACGGCCCACTCCATACGTTATTCTGACATGATCATCTCACATGCACGAGCAGGAGCCTTCCGTGACGCCTGGAGAAGTTGAATTGTCGGTTGTTACCGGCGCAGTCGATGATGGTTATTCCTTCGAGGTCTTAAAGACTCTGGGAAGCGGGTGAACGAGGGTTAGGCACGAATGGCATGAATTAGTGAGGATCTCGTCGGCGGTCGGACGAGACCTCATCGATCTCGTTGTCTGCTGGATGCGATAACAGATGTTCTGCGACGACGTCGGCGGTGAGGGTGTGAACGGGATGCTTCCAGCGCGGAACCTCCACGTACCTCCCTCCGAATTGAATGGTGGAAGGGCCCCCCGCCGTGCGCTCGCTCCCGACATGCAGGTGAACGCATGGGCGGTTTCCGTCCGTTTTGGATCGCTTCGCGGGAGGTTGCAGTCACGCGTTGGAACGGTGGGATGCGGATGTTTCTTTATCGGTGGAGTCCTGCTATGGGATTCCTGATTTATCAACGTGCTTTCTTTGCCGAGGACGACGATGCTCGAGTCATCTCTTCCGCCGATACGACGCATATTAATAGAATTCGATACCCATTGGAATAAATTTCCGTCCCAACATCTATCAGAAGCCGCTTTCCCTCACAGGCGAGCAGAGACGACGAGAAGAGATTAAAAGGAAATCCGCCTGTCGCGGAAGGCGAAGCGTCCGGTCAGGCGAACCGTAACAGGTTGAATGGCGAGGGTGGGGGACAGGCGGGGAGAGACGTTCGGTCGAAGACGAAGGGTGATGACAGGGAGAAGGACGGGAATCCATGTCAAATGGCAACCAACTACGCTTCATCATTCACGCCACGGCGACGACGTGGGGAGCAAAAACTCAACAGCCCAGGTGCAATAAATCCATTGAGAAGTCAACGAAGCGGGAAATCACTCGCTTCCCCTCTTTATAAATCGCTATCCGAGCTCGAATCCCCCTCCTGCCCAGTGTCAAACTCCGACCAGGTTAATTGTCGGCGTATCCGGTGCGCTCGGCGTCATTTTTTTCCCTTTTTTTTCCCCTTGTCCCGCTCCGTTTCTGCCCGCTATCGGGTAACAATGCGGGGAAGCGTTTTGTTTATCCGAGCATGGCTGACAGCCAGGGAGGCACCTGGAGGACAATGCTCAAGCTTCCGTATCCTGATTACGATGATAATGGTAATTTGATCACTGCGCGCTGCATACGCTCGAAACCGGACACATGTGGCATAACGCGCGAAGTGGAGATGATTGTCACACCTGCTTGCTACACCGTCAGGGGCTTGATATCTTTCTGATGAGCTTCTCTTACTTAGCATATTGCACGCGTTCAAGTCACGAACTCAATAAATGGGGGATTATGGGTCTTCCATTAAAAATGAATAAAAGCGCGAGTTCAATTATACTCATTTTATTGGAAATTTGTTTTAAAAAAAAATGACAGCATGGGAAATCACTTACAACATGACTCGAACGAGAAAACCATTCTGGAAGCGTATGGCCTGCGGCATGCTTTCGCATCATTATCAGACAATATATTCACTGTTCAAGGCATAACTGAACCAGGGAACATAATTATCACAGAATGCCGGCTTCCCTACCGATGAGGGAAGGTGCCAAAGTTAGTATGCAGTAGTCTTCGGGCAGCCCGTGTTGGGATTCGAATGAGCAAAGATGTTGCTTGGGTTCATTCCCAGAGGTAGTCTCGGAGGAGAGAGGAGAGGAGCCGAAGGTCGGAGACTGGCAGCGGCCGCTGCAGCGGCTGCAGCGGCTGCTGCTGCTGCCAGATATGGATTCATGGCCAAGGGAGGTGCTGCGGCTGGTGGGATCCGATATGCACTTATGGACTTTTGGTACAGATCCAACTGTCCCGAGTATGGCATCTGGTATGACGGCCCGGCGTAGAGATGCTGCATGGCCGCGTAATTTCCAGTTTCGGCCAAGAACTCCAAGCCTACGGCTGTTTGCCTTTTCCATTTTGTCCTTGAAACGAAAAAAGGGCAACCCGTTCATTCATCAACGCCACCCACATAAATTAGCCGTCCCTCCTCGTCTCGTATCGTGAAAGAGACTTCTCTTACCTGCGGTTCTGATACCAGGTCTTGACCTGCGTGTCGGTGAGGTTGAGCGAGGCGGCGAGTTCCATCCGGTCCTGGACGCTCAGGTACTTCTGCCTCTCGAAGCTCTTCTCGAGCGTCTGGAGCTGGTGGTCCGTGAACGCCGTCCGGGCCTTCCTCGGCTTCTTCGACTTGAGTTCCGAGTTGCTGGGACTTCGTCGACCGTCCTCCCCCTCCCCTTCGGAATCTGCCGGAACGGGAAAAAGGACACACGTGAGCCGTGCGGGAAGTGGCTTTCTGGCTCTCTGCAACCAATTCGCGCGTGGGGTTCTCAATTAACGGGACATTTGCTGCGGTCGGGGAAGAGGATCGTGAGCGGTGCGAAAGCCACCACGACCCCCGATGTTTCCTCTTTGAATACCGGGTGATAATTGACACAAGCCTATCGGATTTGCCGCCGGATGAGTCATGTCCTTAACCGTTGCCGGAAATCGCAGACGTTATCCGGAAGCGTCTCTCTCGCGAAGGTCGCTTGAACCATAAAGATGCCTGCCCGCTGATGGCTACATTAAAGAGGCGATTCCACGACGAGATAAAAAAGATGTCAGTCTTAACAGTGACAGCTGACATTATGGACTATGTACGGTCCATAGATTTTCTAGACTACCATTTCTCTTTCTATTCTCGAGGAAAGAGATCATCTCCTGTGCAATATATTCTCGGAGACGCGAATCCCATTGATCGATTCTCCTTGGACACGTCAGATGATGATAATGTTGATTAGTTTTTCCTCTTTTTTTTTTTTTTTTAAAGAAAAGGGGGAGCCGAGCCGCATCACATGTCTCCCCCGGGGAAGATGATGGCCAAAGAGCGTCTCATTGTTTCCTCCTCTAATTGTCATGGGAAGCTTCCCAATTGGGGACTTTCCGTTTCACCTCAGGCATGCTGCGGCTCCTTTCCTTTCGGTGGGCAAGCCCCATTTCCACTCTATTAGTCTCACACCAGGGGAATTAACGGAAGCTCAATTAGTGTCATAAAGAGGCGTGCCTCTAAATCATTTTCCGCGTCCTCTTCTGAATATAAGGCAATGTTATATCCCCAGCTCAATTAATGGAATTGCGTCCACACAATGGTGCAAAGGTGCCGAACCGACCCAGGAGGGGGGATGAAGCTTTTGTTTTGGCTGGCCAGGCATTAACACGCTTTGTCGAGGGGACGCACATTTCTGTCTCCCACGGTCTCTACTCTTCTCACTCTTCTCACACTCCTCACTCCTCACCCACATCCCGTCTCGATGAAACCCTGCACGCAAAAAGCGTGCGAGCTTGGGCGTGGATGACGGGGGAAAATGGGGGAAAAAAAAATTCAGTCTGATCTCCAGCAGGTGTTCTTGCAACCGTCCTTCAAGAACTCCGTAATTATGACTATGCTATTTATATTGACAAGTAATTACTGGAGATGATTAGGTGGCTATAATGAACGAATCGAAGCTCGATCACGCGAGTGCATAATTTCTTTCATGTACATTCTCGTGCTTCTCCCTCAAGGGTTTCGATAGCCCCTGAAAGGGTGAACCCGAACGTTTCTCGTTCGTTTTCTCCCCCGCAAACCGAGAAATTTCTCGCTCGAGGGACGCACAAGAAGTTTGGCAATGATTTTGTCCTATTTTCTAATAGTTTCTCCATTCTGAATTGACACCTCGAGCCAAATCCTAAATGCGCAAAAAAAGAATCCCTTCCGGCAAGTCTTTATTCGAGTGCATTTGCCAAGTGGAAAAATCGCTCAATGGTTACCAGGCGAATTTTCTGCGCGGTTACTTCCAGTTTTCTATATCAAGGCTTGCTGGAAGGGAGACTTAGCACGCGATGGACTTGGCCCTGGGTGCCAATTCGAGCACGCCTTAGCCTCTGTATCGCGGAATCTTTTATAAGTGGCTGATGAGGATGCAACGGAGTGTGGATGTGGGAAAGTGTCTCGAGGGGACGTGAAAGTGCTTCTTCTTATATTGGAAAAATAACGGGAAAAAAAAGTTTATGGCCGAAACTCGCTGAGCGTCCTTCGTAAGAATCGGATCGGTTTCCGGAGCATTCGTCTCCGTTTCTCATCGTCGATTGTTTTCGGAGCCCGCAGGTCTTCGCGGGAAACGCGGGAATCCGTCGATCGGAAACCTCAACAATGAGCCGAGATGGTCTCAAAGCCATTAAAAATTCATTATCTGCAGAGATTCGCGGAGAAACGATCGGGGATAATGACTGAGCGCCGTGGTCTCCCCCCGCCCGCCGGGAGACTTCCTCGTGTAGGCTCAACGCACCCACGTGGTACGAATAAAACCGCCGTTGGTCGCTATTGTTCCCCTGACAAAAGGCATGACTGGATGAACAAGAGAGGACTTTTAAAGAAAAGACATTTGCCACCCGATTGGGGAGAGACTGCGGTTCCTGTTCAGGGCGCGGCGAATTTCTTCTTCGCGGGGAAGAAAAGGAGAAGTCAGGGATATGACCAAGGCGTGGAATCGGTAATTTGTGAGGTAAAGGCTGGAAAATTCAAGGCCGGCTAATCATTGTCGAGGCTCTTCACTGGCCGGTCGTTGGTGACGCTTCAGTGTGCAAGAAAAGCTCTTTCCTCGTCACGAATCCATTCGCTTCCCCGAGCTCGACTAAAAGACCTGGCTGGAGCTGCGTGTGCGTGTGTGTGTGCTTTGGGAACCATTCACCGATTCTCGTTTTCGGATTCATGATCACACAAGAGGAACAAATGGAGCAGACGAAAAGCCCTCGAGCCAACAGTCGCTTTTCGCTGCTGGAAGAGGGTGATTATGGGAAATTGCTCTTCCATGTGAAGCACGTGGAGGCTTTATACCTATCACGATTAACTCCGGGCATCAAACTGATGGCCCATCAGCTTTTCATGGCCCCCGTCACCCCAACGTATCATTACACGCCAAATCATGAGAAGAGCAGAGAAAGAAGGGAGAACATAGTGAATGTAGTGAGAGAGCGCTTCTGATTCATCCACGCCTTCCGAGAACGTATTAGCCATTATGATTGGGACGAGCCGCGAGTTAAAAAAAAAAAGTAGCTCTCGTCTTCGTTTTCGTTATGCGAAGCAATTTCGGAGAGGGGGAACTCACCGTTGCCATGTGAATGATGAGAAGCTGTGTCTTTGCCACTGTCACCGTCTTCACTGGTGGTGACTTCAACGCCCGAATCACCAGGTACGGGGGAATCCACTCTCATCCTCCTCTCCGGCACCGATTCCCGACCCAAGATGTCCTCGATCATGAAGCGCTTGGTCTTGGTCTTGGTCTCCTTGATCATGTTGCTCTTCACCTCTTGTGACTCGGGGCACACGGTCATGATGGACTCAAAAAAAAACCAACAACTCGTATTTCGACGGGAGGAACTACCAAAGCGGCGCGAACGCGGGGAAGGCACGGGTGGTTCTGGAGACCGTCGGCCCGGGGCTGCTCCTGTGAGACTGGTTCTCCGCGCGAGGCGTGGTTCCCCCCCTTGCGCTCGACCAATGGGGAGCTCGGGTCTCGCAGTTCCATCACTCATACGCATTATCAGTGATGGGAGTGGGGACTTCCAACTCCGTGTGTTGTCACTGGAGGCGTATCATTAGCCCCGCGTGGAAATTAAAAGCCTCATGCATGAAATTGCCTGTAGCCATTATGTCGATCCCCTTCAAGCATCTGACTCCCGTGTTTTCCTTCGGAATCCATCTGGCTGAAACTGACTCTCATATCGATGCATTTGTTTGCCCCCAGCCCATTTATTTGTCTGTCTTTTTTTTTGCTTTCGAAACCCATCTTACACCTGGAGTTACGCGGTTTACAAAAGCGCAATAGCGATCAGGACTTTCCTCGTGGATGAGTGCTATGAACACTCATCCACGAAACCTAAAGGCGTGGATCGTTCCAGCAAGTCAAATGGGAAGATTGGTCGATTTGAGGTCTCCTTGAAAACAGCGGTATCTTTATTATATCCCTGACTATCGCTCGTCCTGCCACGCTATACATCGCTGCAGACCGTCGCTCGCACAAAGGCACAACGCTAGGTGGAATATAGGAATATCTGGCAGATGACTGCTAGGGTCGAACTGAAGAATTCTTAAGAGATCCGAAGTGGCTCCACATGCGAATGAAGGGGGTTTCCTCGACGGATAGAATCCTGCATTCGCGTTTTTGATGTAATGTCTCGTGTCTTCGCTACTGCAGCAGAATCGAAGCCTCGCTCGCATCGATGAATGATGTTTCATCACGAAACATCTAATTTATCAAACATCAACATTGAATTTGAAGACGAATTCCGAAATGTCCTGCATTCGATAGGACGCCTGCATTTGCACTCCTAAACTCATAGAACTGGGTTTCAACGCCTACGACTATGTAAGTTCGCCCTTATCGACCCCTTAAAGGCTTCTGTTGATGAAGTCTTTGCAATCAATAGAGAAGCTACTTATTCCCGAAAGCCGACAATTGGAAGGAGGGGTTCATTTGTGAAATTCTGAGAGGCTGTCGCAATTACAGTTATTTGGTCAATTCGAGGTCTATGTTGCATCAATTTTCTCAACAGAGGTCTGACGCAACGAGGTGAGGAAAAATATTTATTCGATCCTTCCTTCAACAAAAGACAGGTTTCACAGGCTCTGTCAACACAACACGAATCTTCGAAATCGTTCGCCCAGTTAAGAAACGCCCTCCAGCGCAACAAGCCGATCGCTCACAACGAGCGCCACAAAACGTTTCGGGGGGGGGGGGACCGATCC